GACAAAGAGACTGGCCGGAAGAAGACCAAGGGAGTGCTTCCCAAGGGTGGAATATTGGCAGACGACATGGGTCTCGGTAAAACTGTTCAAGCTATTGCTCTGATGCTATCCAACAGAAAGCCCGCCGATGGTCTTAGGCGGCCCTTGGCTGATGACGAGGACGAGGATGCGAGCAGTGACGATGAAGAAGAAAAAGAAAACCGCAAACTACCGGCTGGACTGAGCAAGACGACTCTGGTCGTCGCTCCCCTAGCCCTGATCAAGCAGTGGGAGTCTGAGATCAGCGATAAGGTTGAACACTCGCACAGAATGCGGGTTCTCGTATACCACGGAAACGCACGGGCTAAGGGCACGGACAAGCTTGAGGATTATGATGTGGTTATTACCACGTATGGCACCTTGACCTCGGAGCATGGTGCTAAGGACAAGAACAACAAGAAATCCCCCATCTTCTCCGTCTACTGGTATCGGATCATTCTGGACGAAGCCCACACAATCAAGAACCGCAACGCAAAAGCAACACAGGCTGCCTACTCTTTGGATGCAGAGTACCGCTGGTGCCTTTCGGGAACGCCAATGCAGAACAACCTTGATGAACTGCAGAGTTTGATCAAATTCCTACGTATTAAGCCGTTCAATGACCTGGCGGCATGGAAAGAGCAAATTATGAAGCCAATAGCGAACGGCCGTGGAGGTCTCGCCATCGAGCGTTTGCAGATCTATCTCAAGATCTTCATGAAGCGGCGCACGAAGGATATTCTGAAGCAGAATGACAACCTCAAGCCTGGCAAGGACGGGGAGAAGAAGTCCTCTGGCTTCCACATCGTCAAGCGAGAGGTTATCAAGGTCGAAGCGGACTTTATGCCGGGCGAGATGAACTTCTACCAGCGCCTAGAGCAGAGAACAGAAAACAGTCTCGAGAAGATGATGGGTGGTGAGAAGGTCGACTATGCTGGCGCTTTGGTGTTGCTGTTGCGTCTTCGGCAATCTTGCAATCACCCCGACCTTGTTAAGAGCGACCTTGCTCAGGATAAGGACGTTCTCCTGCAAAACGGGCAGTCCGGCAGCCAGAAACCCGCCAAAAATGATGAGCTGGACAGTATGGCAGACCTCTTCGGGGCACTGAGTGTTGTGTCCAAGAAGTGCGATATCTGCCAAATGGATTTGAAGAAAGAGGAGGCGTCTGGCGGTAACAGCAGGTGTAAAGAGTGCGAGGTCGCGTTGAATGCCGACCTGACTGATACCGGCAAGAAGAAGAAGAGCGGTCGGAGGTCGATTATTGATCTAACAGAATCACCATCGGCCCACCGCGGAGAGCCGCAGGTCATCCGGCGGAGAAACAGACGAGTAGTATTAGACAGCGACGATGAAGATGAGGACGATGGCGAGTGGCTTGTTCCAGAAGATCAGCGCGGAAAGTCGAGCCTTGGAACAGCTGGAGGCACCGATGATGAAGACGCAGAGGGTGGTGGTGAATGGTTGAATTCGGACGATTCTGACAGTGACGACGATGGGCCTGAGTCTCCCTCTCGCAAGCCAACAGGCATCAGTCGCCGGAGCCCTGAGGTTGAGTCTGACGATGACGACATTTACCTGAATGCTGGAGACGATGATAACAAGATTCTGCCTTCGACGAAGATCCGGCGTCTAATGAAGATTCTGAGACGTGAGTCCTCAGACCACAAGTTCATCGTCTTTTCGGTCTTCACCTCCATGCTTGACAAGATCGAGCCATTCCTGAAGCGCACCGGAATTGGATACGCACGATATGACGGAGGCATGCGGAACGACCATAGAGAAGCCAGTCTCAACAAGCTGCGGAACAACAGTGGCACAAGGGTCCTTCTCTGCAGTTTACGCGCTGGTGCGCTGGGACTGAACCTGACTGCCGCAAGTCGCGTGGTCATTCTAGAGCCCTTCTGGAATCCTGTATGTTTACCACTATCCTTCAAAAAGACATTTGCTAACCCCTTCTAGTTCGTTGAAGAGCAGGCCATTGACCGAGTCCATCGTCTGAACCAGACCGTAGACGTCAAAATCTACAAGATGATCATCAAGGGTACCGTGGAGGAACGAATTATCGATCTGCAAGATCGCAAGCGCGAGCTGGCCAACGTTACCATTGAAGGCAAGACTGCAGCGGCCAAGCTAACGATGAAGGATATGATGGCTCTGTTTGGCAAGGACGCCGAAGCACGTTACAACGGCGACCCCGATCTCGACCTGAATCAGACAACGAAGCTGCTGAATTCCGGCGCTGATAGCGCCTCGGGCTCAACATATGCCAGTGAAACGCAGACCTCTGGCTCTCGTGATCGCAGCCGTCAACAGGCGAAACGAAGTTCTCGTGGTGAAGACTCGGTGTATGGTAGACGGTGGTAGCATGATTATCGGTGTAGCATGATTCGGAATGAGTACAATTGGGCGTTAGGCTGGGAGGACAAGCTATCGGTTGGACATAGTTTCAATTTCGGGATTCACCTTTCTACCTTATGAACAGGGCTTTTGGGCATTTAGAATTCATACGATGTTCTATCACGTTATGTGTTAGCTGTCGGCTGGTCGACTGCGTTGGGATATGAAAACGATATGCCGTAAGCTTGATCTAGATTGTAGATCTTTAACACTTCAGTGCCTCGGGCAAATATCTGCCAACACTTCAACAGAACACAGCATACTTCGAAAGAATCCACAACACCACCCATACACTCCCTAATCCACTGAACCCCACTACAAAAGCCCTTCTGACGCCCCCATCCTCTCCACAACCTCCCCCTCAGCCCCCTCTCTCGCCCCCTTCCGCGCCTCCTCACTCATCCTCTTCACAATAAACTCCGCAGCTAAATGAAACGGACACACGCACAGCTCCAGCCCACGCCACCGACACAGCACCTCCATTCCACCGATATCACTAGGCCGTGCCACCCCCCGTTCCACCAAACAAGCATTAAACGTCTTCCCAATCCACCATGGCTCACCAGGAATATCATCATCGCTGAAATCCCCAGAAAGCAGAGCCTGCGCCAACCTCCCCTCCGTCGGATCCTCCCCGTAAGGACCCATTACATTACCGCCTAGATCCTGAAGCGAGACGAGGAACTCATGAGCGGGATGTGCGATACAGGCGAAGTCGAAGTCGATGAGGGCTGTGAGTTTGCATGTGGTGGGGTCGATGAGGATGTTGTTCATTGCTGGGTTATCAAGTTAGTTAGTTCCTCGGTGGGGTGTTTGGGGGTAGGCTTACTCAAGTCACCGTGGATGAGGGATTTGGTATCAGGGTCCGGAAGAAGGCCAGGGAGGGAGAATCTGTCGATGAGGGAGTCGAGGCGGTTTCGGATTCCATTACTTCGCCATCCGTTAATGATAGGGCTGGAATCGGCATCGTGTAGCTCGTGCCGTAGGCATGCCTTGAGGAGCTCCGCATATGTAGACCACGGTCCGCCATTCGTGGTGGTCATCTCCGCACTGATGATTCTGCCGTCGGTGGAGGATAGAGCGAGTCCACCGTGGGTGATTTCCTCCGGGAGTGGACATTTCCGGAGTCCAGCGAGTATATCTGCGACTTGCTCGATGATGGATTTCTTGGCTGTCTCGGACTGAGAAGGGAAGAACTCGTCTAGTGGTACGCCGGACTTGTATTCCATTAGTGTCCAGGGTAGGTCATTTGGATGAGTAGTAGGCTTTGAGCAGAAGGTGTATATTTTGGGAATGAGAGAGCCTAATCCGGGTCGATGTGATTCGAGTCCCTGACGGGCGAGAGACATGGCGGCGAGTTCGTTCTCGATGCGGGAGGCGTGTGGGTTGATGCCCATTGCTAGGGGGTTGCTCATTCGGAGGATGTAGGTTGTTGTTGTTTCGTCTAGTAGGGAGGTGGTGTGGGGGTTTGGGGGTGGGAATGAGGTGCTTGAAGGGGGTTGGGATAGTTCAAGCTTGTAGATGAAGTTGTTGTAGGGACAGGGGCCGAGTTCTTGGTATGCGATTGGGGTGATCGTGGTGATTTGGAGGGAGTGGTGTTGTGCGATGCGCTGGATTTGCTCGAGGCGGGTGTGGTAGGTTTGGTGGTTGATGTTGGACATTGTAGAGTCGGTGATTTGGGGGTGGTTGCTTGGAGTGACGAGGGAATGATATTATGGCTAGCTATATATCGACAGTAAACAGTTATAAATATGTTCTAAGAGCAAGGGGGATATAAGCATTGTCTGCTTATCTTTGCGCCAGGTCTTTCGCATATAGAAACGCCAGGGTATAGGGTTAGCTCCGCCGGAGTCCGATATGAGCCTACGAATAGAAGGGTAGTTATTGATTGCGATACCGGAAACAGACTATCTAGTGTGACTGCCAGGGGCCTGTTGATTATGATACTTGCGATAACATCATTCGCAGAGAAATCCCTGATGGTGAGCGCTACTACTGTCGATGTAACTAAAAGTCAAAGCATGGACGGACTGGGATAGGAATAATGTTTCCTTACCGGGAAATATTCCCACTGAAATCATACTCATAATCTATGCCCTAATCGGGCCCACTATATAATGAAAATCGGGGAATGGAGGTGAACAGAGAGTTCACCCCTAGTATGAAAACCTTCTTCCAATCTACTCAAACACGATCTACTATTGGTATAAAATAGCGGCTTGCAAACGGTTCAAACTCCAGTCGGCTGCGTCCAGCAAGTGGCTCAAGGCTGAGTGGACGGGGTAGCATCATATTGTATATCAAATAATTGGAAAAGATACCGTAGTACTTCGTAGCCTTCCCAGTTAACTAGCAGTGTGCTTTCTCTTGCTTGTCAAGCTAGATTTCGATTCAACATATCTCCGCCCGACCTCTGTAAGTGCCATCATGGCAAAACTGCCTCTTTTTAGGCTTTATGTCTCATTAGAACGATATGATCATAAGTCAAAGCATAGTGATCACATTACTTGAACTATAGTTCAAAACCGCACTGGATTGGAAAGTATATCTTTGGTATAATAGTAGTAGTACTACTGCATGCCCAGCCGGGTGGAACCTACAAAAGCGGGCCATATAAAAGGTGGATTCTTGAATGCTGGTCTTTAGTACCGTTCTTGGGCTGTTTTTTATTCCTTGTCTCGTTTGAATTGATAGCATCTCTGGCTGTAGGCGCACCTCCCGTCGGATCGGGCCGCTAAGAGTGCCCAATACCCCTCACTCAGCTGAACCTAATTTGATGACCGATCATTCGGCCAGCAGGGTATAACCTTCAGGATATCATTCGATGGAGAAATTGACCTGACAGTGCTTGTTCACGCACTATGAGCGACCCTCTGAGTATCACCGCAAGTGTAATTGCCGTCCTTGAACTGGCAGCCACCACAACCCGCTATCTCAGGGAAATCAAAGATGGAGCAGCAGACCGACTCCAGTTGCGGGATGAGCTACGAAGCACCACCTACCTACTCGAAATGCTCAGAGACCGTATTGATGATGCTGAGGATGCGGCCGTAACTTTAGGCATGGGAAAGTCCATATTGACCGAGTCTCTTGTGGGTCTTGATGGTCTCCTCGTCCTTGTTCAGAGTGTGCTGCAAGACATCATCTCTCGGCTCTGCCCGCAATCAAAATTCGGTCAACGATCGTTGTCTTTGACATGGCCATTCACCAAAAAGGATATCACGGAGAAGCTGGCTTGCCTGGAGCGCCTAAAGAGTAGTCTCAGTCTCGTCTTGCAGAATGACCTGATGTATGGTGTTCTCAAGATCTTCAACATTTGAGAAAGTGCTGATTACAGGACGTTAGTAAAATGGTGCAGTCATCACATAGAGAACTTACAGAAATCGGGCAGAAGGTCAGCCAAACACAATTGAAAGACGAGGAAGATCTAAACGAGAGGATCTTGCTCTGGCTTAGCCCCTTTCCCTTCCGTAAGCAACATGATGCAATCCTGGAGACCGTGCAGGCGGGAACTGGTGGCTGGTTTATGAAACACGAGAAAGTATGCAATTGGCTTGAAGGCAATATCAGCGTGCTTTGGTGTCCAGGAATACGTAAGTACTGAGACTTTTACACTCTGGTGAAGCTAACTCCAGGTTGCTAGCTGGCGCTGGTAAAACACGACTAATGTTAGTACATTGACTAAGTATTTTACGTTTCTATTCTCATACATACATACATACATATATATATGTCACTGTTCTCTGCTTTGCTTGGAATATGTCCCTCAGATATTGCATTGACAGCTAATGCATCATATCAGGTCTATCGTTGTTGATACGCTCGAGCATAAGCTGGCCTCGAAAAACGCTCTCTGTACGTACATCTATTGTAATTATGGACGCCGAAACGAGCAGACCCCGGTTGCTCTTCTTTCAAGCTTGCTGCTGCAAGTACTTCGACACTCGAAAAGCGGGACAGTGCCATCTGAAATATCCTCGCTTTATAATTCGCATAAAAAACTTGGTACCCGCCCTACCTGGAAGGAGTTATTCGACATATTCACCAAAATGACCTTCGAATATGAAACGACTTACATCGTGATCGATGCTCTAGACGAATACAGCGAGAGTGAGAATGACGCTTTGTGGTTTCTATCCACCATCAGTTCTGTTGGCTCAAACGTTAAAATCATGTGTAGCTCACGTTTCTCCACAACATTTGATGCATATTTCGATTCCTTTGAGAAGGTAGAAATCTCTGCTCGGGACGAAGACATTGAACTGTTCTTGGATTCGGAAATTTCACGGCTCCCCACGCTGTCGAGCTTATCCAAGCATCTTCGAGCTGAGCCAGACTTGAGAAGACACATCATTGTTTCCATCACGGGGGAGTGCCAGGGAATGTATGCAACCAGTAACATATCAAACCGAGGACTGACGATGTTAATATGTGAATACTAGGTTTCTTCTCGCAAAGCTACATCTCGAGTCGCTTCTCCCGAAAATCAATCGGAAGGCTGTGCGCTTGGCTTTGGCCTCTCTTCCAGGAACTTTGAATGATACTTACTCAGATGCCCTCAAAAGGATCCGTGACCAGCCTGCCGAGATGGTGGAGCTGGCAGAGCTCGTTCTGCTCTGGGTTATCTGCGCCCGTCAGAACCTCACAGTTATGCAGCTTCAACATATGTATGCCATGCAGGAGTTATCGGAGGAAATGGCTCTTGAAGACGACGACCTCCCAGACGGAGATGTCCTCACCGCAGCTTGTGGGGGTCTCATTACGGTTGATAAAGAGTCGCAAACCATCAATGTCATCCACTACACCGCCCAACAATACTTTGAAATTTCCCTTGCGCCGAAGTTGATGGCTGCCCGAGTGAATCTCACAAAAATTAGCTTGGCGTATCTGGTGCTGCCGAACTTCTCGACTGGCTTCTGTACCAGTGATACCACCATGGCACAGCGTCTGAGAGAGTATCCCTTTATTGAGTATGCCGCCAAGCATTGGGGCTCAGAGGTGAACCTTATCGATGCAGGCGAGATTTTGCCAGACCTCGAACGGCTTTGGTCTAATCCTGTGGCGGTTGAAATGACTAGTCAAGTGTGGAGTCTGTCAAGCGCTCGCTATCCCAGCTGGAGCCAGGAGTTCCCTCGAAACTGCCCAGCTCTCGTGCTCGCCGCAGTATTTGACCTTCCAGTTATTCTTCGACAAATGATTGCAAACGGTCATGACATTGAAGGTAGGGGGTCCGATGAAGAGACTGCCCTTATCCGGGCCGCGACATTTGGCCATGTCGAAAACGTGCGTACATTACTAGAGCTAGGAGCTGAAGTCGATGCTCAAGACTACATGAATGAAACTGCTCTACACAGAGCTGCCCGGAAGGGACATGGAGAAATTATCCATGTGCTAATAGGTAAAGGTGCCGGAGTGAACAACAAAGCGTCCAGCAATTGGACAGCACTCATGCTTGCTGTGTCCTGTGAGAGTCTTAACGCCGTTCGAATCCTTGTCGAAGGAGGCGCAGAGCTGATGTCGGAGACGGAATGGGGGGACACAGCCTTGACTATGGCTTTGAGAAGTGGACAGGAAGATATCGCTGTCTTTCTTGCCGAGCATGGTGCTGTTTTGCCTCGCGGCTTAGCGGGGCGTCGAGCTTTTATCATAGCTTGCCAGAGAGGATTACAACACGTAGCGCAGCGCCTAACACTTGATTATGAAGCGGTTGCTGGAAGGCCTTTACAGCGGCAATCGTCGCGGGTTATAGACGGCCTACCTCAGATCGTACGTGAATCACCGCAGGGAGAGTCAACTGCTTCTGGAACAGAAACCGAACCGAGTGACGAGGTCTCGCTGGGAGAGCTGATGGAGCAGTATGACATAAAAACCGGGTTTGATCAGCGTTACAAGATAACGCAGGAACTCAGGACGGGCCACTTTGCCACAGTACACCTCTGCACTGACAGAGTGACCGGGATGGCTTTCGCAGTCAAAATTTTCAAAGGTGGAACTCCTGGAAATCCCCTGAGAGCAAAGGATTTCAAGGATATAGGTGGTGAAATCCAACTGCTACGCGAGCTCCAGAAGCACTATCACCCAAACATAGTGAGGATGATAGATGCATTTGCAAACTTAGAGGGAAATGATTTTCGCCTTCTTTTAAGTGTTGCGGTAGAAGGGGACCTCTTCGACACTATCAAAACAAGAGGAAAGCTGACTGAAAGTGAAACACGGCATGTATTTACTCAAACACTATCCGCCATCATATTTTTGGTAAGCCTTACTTGTTTTACCCTAGTCCATGCTGACTCCAAAGCTGACACAAAATAGCATGAACTTGGATGGGTCCACCGAGACATTAAACCCGAGAATATCTTGGTATGCGACAAACACCTTTCAGTACAGTTAAGTGACTTTGGAATTTCGAAAAAGATCGACGCAAAATTAGGTTCTGATGAATTGGCAACAACCTTGTGTGGAACCCCCAGTTGTATGTATCCTAGTCCCTGGACACACATTGAGGCACTTGCTAACCTGGCTTAGATGTGGCACCAGAAATACTTGTAGAGACACCCCACCGCCGATATGGACTCGAGGTAGACATATGGTCTGCGGGTGTAGTTTTGTACATCTGTCTCTGCGGATTTCCTCCATTTTCCGACGAGCTCAACACCCCGGAACACCCCTATAACATGGCACAACAGATAAAGATGGGTAGATTTGATTATCCATCACCTTACTGGGATCCCATAGGAGATCCTGCATTGGATCTCATTGATCGAATGCTCACCGTAAATGTGCCTGACCGCATCTCAGCCCGAGATTGCCTCACTCACCCCTGGATGTGTCAAACCCCCAATTGATGCAACAAAATTATTTGTCGCTAATAGCTTTTTGGAACTGTCAAATAGTGCAGCAAATCACCCTTGCCAAGCCAGTGCACTGCGATCAGCTTTCTCATTCACTGAATTAGAAAAGACATACAAAGATCGTTGAAAGAGAAAGATTTATTGTTATTATTGGTTATCCAAGCGGTCTGGCGTATCCATAGGTTGGGCGGAATGACGGAGATAAATAGGCTCAAATAGAGGGGGACGCTATATAAATCAGCGCTACAGAAACAACTCAGCCCCTAAATATCGAATCTGCTATCTGCTCTCAGTAACGGTTGCCTATTGCATGATGATATTAACATCAATCAATATTTCATATTCACTCTCGCAGATCAAGCTTTATTCAATAATGACCTCACGGATTACCGGCTGCCTGATTCCTCCTTCCCATCGTCACGCTAAATTCTCACCTCCAATCATTCACTATACGCCCACGTGATTCAACCTCACTACTGCTGCCTGAACAGCATACATAAAATACCCAGAAAGCAATCATTGTTCACTTTCCAGCTTTCAGGTCTTAATCCATAATAGCCATCATGGATATCCAACCTAAACTCATCATCTTCCTGCTCGCGGCTCTAGTTATCGCCAGCGAATCCTTCCGACGCTATCTCAAGCGCCGCCAATTCGCCCGCCAGCATGGCTGCCAACCAGTCGCACGATCCTTCAGCAAAGACCCCTTCCTAGGCCTCGACACAATTCTCGGCACAATGCGCACAAGGAAAGAGCACCGTATCCTCGAGCGAAGCTGCAATCTATTCCGCACACTCGGCAACACATTCACCGTCAAAGAACTAGGCCGTAGTGCAATCGTGACCATCGAGCCCGAGAACATCAAGACAGTCCTCTCCCTCAACTTCAACGACTACAGTCTCAAGCACCGTTACGAGGCAATGAAGCCTCTTCTGGGCGAAGGCATCTTCAACACGGATGGTCACCACTGGGCCACATCTCGCGCGCTTATCAGGCCGAGCTTCGCCCGCGAGCAGGTGACTGATCTGCGTTTGCTAGAAGAGTTGATCCAGGATCTATTCGCGTTGCTTCCGAGGAATGGGAGCACGGTCGACCTGCAAGAACTCTTCTTCCGGTATACGATTGACTCCGCGACGGAGTTCCTGTTTGGACAGTCGGTGGGCGCGCTGAAAGAGGGCTACTCGGAGGCTGGGTTCGCAGAGGCATTTCATTATGCTCAGATGGCGATCCCGATGCGGGGAATGCTGGGTCCGCTTGGTGTCATTTTTCGTGATCGGAAGGCTGAGGAGTGTAATCACATCTGTCGAGACTTTGTGCAAAGGTTTGTTGATGAGGCTGTCTATGCGGCTGCGACAAGGAAAGAAGATGAATCGCCGGAGACGAAGCGGAGGTATATTTTCTCGCATGAGCTGGCGTCACGGACTTCTGATAAGCAGCGCATTTTGGATGAATTGATGAATGTGCTTCTAGCCGGGCGGGACACGACGGCCAGTCTTCTTGGGAATATGTTCTTCGTGCTGGCGAAGAACCCAGCTATTTGGGCGAAACTGCGCGCTGAAGTTGAAACGCTGCAGAACCGGCCACCGACGTATGAGGAGCTGCGCGGTCTGAGGTATGTTCAGTGCTGTGTAAATGAATGTATGGATTCCCATCATCCCTCTCCTTTGTAAAATCTCATTGACCTGAACTAATAGCTCTGCGCCTTCACCCTGTCGTCCCTCGCAACGAACGCGAAGCAGAGAAAGATACAGTCCTCCCTGTGGGTGGAGGCAAAGACGGTCTTTCCCCTGTCTTCGTCTCCAAAGGAACGATCGTCGGCTACAACATCTACGCCATGCATCGTCGACCGGACATCTACGGTCCAGATGCAGAGGTATTTCGCCCTGAACGATGGGAGGATGGGAAGTTGCAGCCGCGCTGGGGCTATTTGCCGTTCAATGGCGGACCACGGATCTGTATTGGTCAGCGCTATGCCTTGACGGAGGTCAGCTATGTTCTTGTGCGGATGGTGCAGGAGTTCCGCGGCCTGGAGAGTCGGGACCCTGGACCATGGGTGGAGGGATTGGGGTTGACGCTTTGTTCGAGGAATGGGGCGAGGGTTGTGCTGATTCCATGACATACACATTAATCTGACTGGATAGTAATAAGATGAGATATGCAATAAGAGGACGCATGCAGGGTCCGCGTCTGAAGAAGAATAGATCTGACCTGATAGTCAGCGTGAATTAGGCCTGTCGCTACTGTCACTTATTGCCGTCTTACATCAAACTACTCGCTGATCTGCATGTACTTTAGCGAAGCATTCGTCTAGCTTCAGTGATAGTAATAGAAACTGATACGACTGCAACGATACAAATTAGCGCTTATGTCGGACATTAGCGTATTTCTCCCCACTCCTCTTTGTGGTGGACTAATTAGACTAAATTCTGACACCTCGCAGAATATGAGGGGTTATATAGACAACTGGCAGGCCATACAACCAACGAGGGAGAGGAATGGAAATTAGGTCCTAACACGTTCCGTGCAATATGCCCCTGGCTGTGATGACCTCCCTTCGACAGCAGAGAGAATCGTCTCCGATGCTTACTTCAACAACGCTACGTGAAGCTAATGCATGTGTCGCTAAAACCGGGTAGATCGGAAGAGGGGAGAAAGATGTAACCATGTAAGCCTCTCCTCGTTTATCCTAGACTGGGTACTAACTAGCTAGTCTTACTAGCTAGTGGCTCATTGGCCAGTTAGGATGTGTCCTGCAGCATGGTATATTGACCTAATTTAGCGCTTGACGGCCACTTCCCCTCTATTGTGAATCTACCAGTCAATGGTAAGTTGATGTAACATACTCAGTACATACTAATTGATGACTGCATTGACTTGATCACAGGATAATGGAGACATTGAGATGTCTGTAATATTTTGGTATACTAGGCTGGCTGGCTGGATATAATCTCGCCCCGTCGGCCCTTTCCGCCCACAGCCTCCCCCGCCTGCCCTAAATCTGTCAGGCCCACTTAGATTGGACGCTCGGGGACATCCTTAGTTCATCCTTGGCGATGGACAGATAACCGAACAGAATGAAAAGGTACGGAGCACTCGGAGTACGGAGTAGTCGGAGCTAAGCCACGTTTCTATTCCTCCAAGTGTTTATCCGCGGAGTCTAGTTGCTTGAGGGTTGTCTGTCTCCGTTGAGGGCCAACGAACCTCCTCAGCCTTGTCCTGGTCCTTCCCACACCCCTCCCTTTCTCGACTGGCCAGCACACCAAGCAGGGGTATCCACCCCTCTTCCCTCTCTTATGTGTCTTGTGCTTGTTGTCCTCCACTACCCTCCTCTTCTTCCTTTCACCGGCCCACTGCCCCTCATTTGGGGCACATGCCTTCCTTCAAGTTATGCCCGTAGGAAGCGGGAGGATGGATAAGCAAGAGGACAACAACAATAAAGCAATTTATCTGCCAATGTGATTGAACACATCCCCATATTAAAGCCACATATTGGACTAAAGTAACCTTGGCGAATTCTCTTACATTCTGAAACAACATTGCAAGCAGCTCAATACACACCCATTTTTTCACAAATATATTTATCTACTCCCATTGCTTCACCAACTCCAAAATAGTCTTCGTCAACTCCTCCGGAGCAGACAATTGCGCACTGTGACCCGTAGCCAATTCCCTGGTAATCCACTTAGCACCCGTAGCCTGAACCATAGCCGTCTGGGCCGGGTACGGCACCGCGCGATCCTCAGTGGTGTGGATGTAAGCGATTCTATCCTTGAAGGCCTCAGAGCCCCAGCTCGCCTCGGGACAGGGACTCGAGAAAGAAGTCAAGCCCTGACTGAGGGAAGTCTGGCAAGCCGCGTCGGCAAGGGTGGGTTCAACGTCGTAGAAGAGAGGGGGCTTGGGCTCGTCGCATTTGAGGAGATTTTGTTCTTTCTATTCATTGCTTCTCGTTAATTCTGGAAATGGTAAGTGAGAAGGAAGGAAGGAGCACATACATCCATGTACATATGCGGGGGCAAATTTCCACCAAAAGAATCAATAACACTCAACCCATCACCACCACGAGGCAGGATGGTCGCGATGAAGATCTGGCCAAGCACAGAAGTGGACTTGCCCTGAGCGGCACGGTCGGCGGGTCCGAGTCCGCGCGCCGCCGCGCTAGCGGGCATTCCACTGTACGAGTGGCTGATCAGGATCACATCTTGGTTGCCGACGTCCAGGAGAGGGAGGATCAGTCGGTTGCGCACGTAGTCGGTGTCGTCGGCCGCCGTGACCTGTCCTTGGGCGCCAATGCTGGGGAGGAGGCCTGTGAAGGCTCCGTAGCCGGCGGATTGGAGGAGGTGTAGGAGGTGGGCGTAGTGGGCTGGGTTTTGGGAGGCGCCGGGCACGACGACGAGGGCGGGCTTCTTTTTGTCGGTGGGGATAGTCATGATGTTGAGTGAAGTAATTATATGAGAGATTAGAAAGGGTGTTATTGAGGTGAGTGTATAGTAGTAGGGGAGATTACTTCGGGTGCTGGGAAGAGGGGGTTTGGGACAAGTATTTATGTCTGTAAAGCGAGGGGAGCCCTACTTCTCCTCCGAAGGCCGGCGCTTACAGTCTACTTTAGTTGTGTAAGATGTTCTTTGTTTAACGGCTCAGTGGGTGGAATAAAAACTCGTTTGTTGGATGGAGTCAGCCAGGGTGAGTCTGTCTATTGCTAGAACGGGAATGGGTAGCTCGAAGCCAGTCGAGTAGTCTGACGCGAATGACCCACTGTCCGCTACCACCCCTGTATGTTCCCTCAAATGGCTAGAAGAAGGGATGGCTGGCACAGTCACTCCTCTTCTTGATTGAGACTGCTGCTTTTTTAGTGGGGGTTCTTGCTACAAAGCCTGTCTTTGAAATGTGATCATTGTTGCTCCAGTGATACTGAACACCTTGGGCTGAGCCGATGTGACTACAACGCAATCCACAGAATTTGATAACATACACTAACACTACACATTTTTAGGATAATGGTAATAATTGACACGGCCAATTCAACCCGGCAGTATTCTTCACACCTCCAACAGTTCCACCTCGCTTGAGGTACTTGGTGTCAATTTCTTCTCGTGCCCACGCTGATGAGAGTTTGCCGACTGCATATGTGACTGGGGGAGGTTGCGCGAGTCGTGGAATTTGGTTGATCCCTCCTTCTTGCTGCTGAGAAGCCGAATCCATTGCTTGGGCCCTCGCCAGTTACGAAGCAGAGGTCCCAGAGTAAGCATGGAGCCCACGACGATGAAGATGGGTGGCTCAAGGAGCGCCCACAGAATGTTATAAATGAAGGGTACTATAAAAAATTGGATACCTCGTCAGCAAATGCGTACGACTTGAATCGTTAATACGATGAAACCGGGAAAACATACCCTCAAACATGCTACTGATAGTCGCGGGCTCCTTGGTCCACTGGACGGCGTAGTACAGTCGAACAAGTGATGCCGCCATGCAGCTATTCCACGCCCGACAATTAATAAATTATCAGAGGGATCGACGGGAGAGATTAGGATGACTTACGTGCTTCCCAAGACAAAGATCACAGACATGAATAGCTTCTTTGATTGATCCATCTGCAATTTCTGTACGGCAGCGATTGGAAGTGCCAGCGTCAGAAGATCGAATAAGCTATTGCCTGCAACATAGCAGATAAGGATCGCCGACGCGTTAATATCGTAGGGGGCGGTCGGGTCCCATTGTAGGTAGACCGGCCATTTTGAAAAGATAACCGCCAGGACAATCGCCAACGTGAAGCTGGAAATCAGTCCAATGAGCACATTGCTCGCCATGACAAACGGACGGGAGATGCCGAAGATCCGCCGGTAGAAGAAGAGCAAAGAAACTTTGATGACTCCCATTGTGGCGATTTGAGCATTTTCGCAAGCGAAGTTTATCTTCAATGCGAAGATGATCGCCTCCATGGTTGGCTGATACTCAGGGTCTCCGATGCCGGTAACAGCATCGGTGTAGTCGATGATAATGCTAATCCCACAAGAAAGAATCTAGTGGCGAACATTGAATGTTAACATCATCAATGATGGGATGGGATGGTGGTGGGATGTACCAGGGCGAGGATAATTGTCCAGTCATCGGCACCCAAGTAGAGCTTGGAATATATCCGGGCGTAGACACGGAGTGCAACCGCCAGAATGGCCAGGACACCTAAAATTGTGGTCACAATAATGATCGCCTTGGCCGTACTGGTAATACCATGACCTTCATAATACAACATCTTGCCGGATCAGTTTGCAGACAAGCGGTATGGAGAAAGAGGGGATTAAGCATTGATGATGGCAGAGGCGCGACAGCCAAAAGCCATTCCCTTATAATAGCCTGGAAGGGAAGAATGCATGTCTCTCGGCTGGGGCGTGAGGGCGCAGGAGACAGCCAGGCTGAATAGATGCAAAGTTAGCCCATCATCTGTCTGCCACCGTCCGTCTGACTGTAGGACTGTATAGCCCCCATGCGCCAGGATCGGAGGCACACCACGTCTGCAACAGGGCTGTCGACATCGTCAGGTAAATCATACTAATGGTGGGGGCCGAAGGATTCGTCTGCAAATACGTGACAATGGCCTGTGAGAAAGGCTGCAGAAACCACAAGAGCCTTGTCAGGCTGGTCAGGAGGGGGTGGATGGAGGAGGGAGGACTACATTGCAGGGTTACAACTCCTTCGAGGCAGCGAAGCTAGTAGTGAATTACACAGCCCATCCGGCTTAGGGTACTCGAAGAGAAACACGAAGGATCATGGTGTCTCTGAGTCTCCAATAGAAATTGCCAAGAAAGCTTCTAATTGGAGCATTTTCTCGAACAGCATTTGTCAGGCGGCCCGAGGGAAGTCCACTCTTCTTAGTTTCTCATTACTCCGGGGAAAGGATGGGTCTAGTGCAGCGGCGATTTCATCTTATTCGATAGTCTGACTACGCACTAGGACACCGTGTCAGATTAAGTAGTGGGAATTCTTCAAATCGATCTGTTTATAGACCCTGAACTAAAAGTACTATCGACCGATTCAGCTTCCCCCGCACACTAGCCAAGTTCCACAGCAACCCCTCTTTATGGCGCAAACCAGTGGATTTAGCTTGCGTGTCTGCAGCCCAGAGGGCGAAGCCTGCTTACTATCTCGCTTAAGCACTGTTTTCATGTCAGTACACCTATTGACCGTGCCAAGAAGGGGATAGAGGGACTTACGTATCCTCGTAAGTGATGAAGCAACTGTTCAGGACAGCCGAAGGATCGCGTTCCTCGACTTCGTCTCTCTTGCTGACGGAGTCCTCGTACGTAATGAACCGACTGTTCAGCACAGCCGAGGGATCACGCTCTTCCACTTCATCTCTTTTGCTGATGGCGTCTTCGTAGGTGATGAACCGGGTGTTCAGCACAGCGGAAGCGTCACGTTCCTCGACGTCATCTCTCTTGTTGATGGCGTCCTCATAGGTTATGAACCGTGAGTTAAGCACTGCCGTGGGATCACGTTCCTCAACCTCATCCCTCTTATTGATGCCATCCTCATAAGTAACGAACCGCGTGTTCAGCACGGCAGAGGCATCACGCTCCTCAACTTCGGATGGAGCTGCGACAGGGGCCGCCCTGGCAGAGCTAGCCAGGGTGAGAAGCACCGCGAGTGCGCTCAAGGCAGTACGCATATTGCAACAAAGTGGGAAGTCAAAGACTAAAAAGGTTGCTGATTCGGAGTTCTAAGAGCTTGGGGGAAAGAGGAAGAGATGAGTAGAGAAGTTGATTGTATCCTCCAGCACATAAGGACACCACGAACCTGACCTCGAACCTTATATGTTTCTCGTACTCTCTGCGGTATTCTAGGTTTCTTGGTGTACGCCTGCTTGCCAAGGCAATTCCATACTAACCTCGTCGGACCTGGAGTCCTTTGTGTTGGCGCCGGGCCAAGGGAATCGTGAGCGGCTGCATCGAATGCATCCATCCTCACATCAGCCCATCGTAGACGTGTTCGGGCATTCACTCCAGAGCGGGGTTAGCGTAGTATCTACTTAAAATCTCACTGTTCCAGGATCTCGCAAATGAAGATGTATAGGGCCTTCGACTTTGTTGCTGATGCGGCAGGAGCGGTTGGTCAAAGGCCAATGATCATACCAAACATCGAGTAGTCATTTCAGTCATGCATGAATAACTCTCGCCAAGTACTTCCGGACACTCTGTCGTTGCGACACACGGAAAACCGGCATCATTTGGCCCCCAATGGTGATACCCAGGCCGATGATGAGGTGCATTGATGTGAGTGTGGAAGGGTAGGGCGGATGAAGGTCGAGCTCGCTCCGAGGAGAATCACAGTCTTGGCTAGTTTGTGGATTCCCCCCCTCCACCTCGCTGTTACTTCTGCATTGCCTTCTCTCCAAGGCAATCTCCCACAATTTCGTTTGTAATCTACGGAACATTTTGTGCCGAGTTATCCCCTCCGGTGCTCTGCCTTCTCCCTTCATCAACATTCTCTGCATTTTGCATCTTCCTACTCCTTCCTACCTCCACCCCACACAGCCATTCATCAATCCTTGATATCGTCATGGCCGGAGCCAGGCTGGATGACAGGCAGAGCGAAGAACGCCTCATATCAAGTTTCGATGAGGAAAACTTCCTCAAAGACAGTCGAAGTCCTGGGGCGAGAAGGTCACGATGGTGCTGGTATCACCCAAATGGGACTCTGATTCTATCTTTGTGGACTTTATTTCTGTTTATAGCTTCTATCTACCTTTGGTCAACAGTAGCTCGTCATCGAAAAACAGCTGCCGCTTGTCAATGCGATGACTACCTGCCCATCGATTCTCCTGCCTTAGAGGCCCTCGAGAACACAGGTCATATTGAAAAGTTCGACGGCAGCTTTGCGAAGCCCAATGCTTTCAAGGGACCACCAAGTCCTGCTATTGATGCCGCCTGGGATGATATAACTTATGCTTCAGGTGATTCATCCCAAATGGACCCAGGTAGAATGAACACGAGGCTTACAATCTGTCCAAAACAGGCGGTGTCATCAACGTTGATGAGCAAACACTTCAGCAGATCAATGCGTCCGAGTACTCTGTTGGTTTGGCTGACGAGCTCGGCGGCGGCTACATGGGCTCGGTGGAAGTTCTGCATCAGCTACATTGTCTGAATATGCTCCGCCAAGCAAGTTACGAGGATTATTATAGGGACAAACCGGGCCCGTGGGAGGACAGCCCGCAGATTCTACGGCATCATCTTGGTAAGTCATGAGTAGAAGACGTCCAAACACAATCAATGAACAAATGTTGACAAATACCCGAAATAGACCATTGCATTGATATTCTACGACAGAAGGTAAGCTAGATTGGTGTTTCGAGTTATCTGTTTGGCGTTATGCTTGGAAGTTCCACAGACTAATGGTTGTGACCCGTCAAATAGTTGATGTGTGATGCGGACGTTGGTATCCTGACATATGTGTGGGTGAAGGGGCATAAAGACCCATTTCCAGACTTCAATGTGTATGAAACGTCCCCTGCTTCCCTTTTCCATCCATCAACCCTCCAATACATATAGCGCTCTTGAAAGAGTGGAAATATACAGGCACAAGGCTAATATTCAGTGGCATTCGCAGGCACCATAAATGTCGCGATTTCCGTGCAGTGAAGCAATGGGTCGGGCAGCATCAGCTCTACACAACACCCGAACATGGCATTGAGCGTCTCCCCGGAGCGAAGGAGATGCCTAGCCCACCGTAGATACTTGAAGTTACACAGACTACTATCTGCTACAAATCGTAACTCAGAGTTTGAGAACTACAAGCTGCCCGCCCAGTAAGCAGTAAGGGGCACAAGTCACGGCGCGTATTATTTCGAATTCAAGTTTTGTCAATATACCTCCCACAGACTCAATAACCAATACATCCATCAAACGAGCATGTTCAAGAGGAAATTTCGGTGCGAAAGGTATTTCACGAACTCAAATACGTACATGTCCAATACCGCCAGGTTATCTCTTTTGCGCTACAAGATGAGGAAAGATCCCACCCATTCTGACACGTTTAGCCTCGATAGTCTCACTAACAGAAGTCTTCAATTTACGCAGTTCATCCAGTTTCGTCTCCCCAGTATTACCGTTCTCAACTGCACTTCCGTTCTGAGACTGTTGCTGTTCCATTCTCATGAGCGCAGAGTGCAGGAAAAGGTTGACAGAGTCTGTGAGATGGTCTGAAAATTCGAGGCAGACCTCGGGATCCCCATCCTCCTGACAGAAGCCCCCGGGACGTAGATTGAAATGGAGGATATTTAGAGCATCGTCTCCATTGGAGTTTTTGAGTGAGAGAATTCTTTGCAGCATGAAATGCGGCAGGCTGAAGAAAAAAGAATTAAGGATATAAGTGAGCCGATGGGATCAAGCGACGACAGAAGTGAGAGAAAAGCAGTGAGTGGGTAGATACTCACTAAGGTACTAGATCACGAGCCCGTCTCTCCAGATCAATGATCTCAAGTGCTTTGAGCATTTCGGGTGTTTCTGGGAACAGTCTGAAAAGTCGGGCTTCGCTTTCTGTCCACTGGAGATAGCCTCCTGGCTCTGTACAACAGACAAATAAGATTATTATCAGGCGAAGTATACCAAGCTGGTAACTGGGCAGGGAGTAACAACTTACTCAAGAGTTGCAATGCATTCTCGAGCGCTCGAGACAGCTTCTCCTCCGTGATAGCGTAAGCAAGGCCGCGGATATTGACTAGGTTGAATTGCCCATGATAGCGGGGGTCAAAAGGTTTAGTGCAGTCGTGCTGCACAAGTTGGATTCCCGGGGTGGGGGTCTCGGGGAACGCGGCTGCGTTCAAGTCAAAGCCAACAAGAGACGGGAGGGGGGTTGTGGCTGGGGATGTAAAGGCCCCAGTTCCGTTTTCAAGGCCTGGAGAAGATAGGGACTGAGCTACTTCCCGCAGCCAGATACCTGTTCCGCAGCCAATATCTGCAACCCCGCCCTTTAGTGCTGACAAAGGGATGGAAGGGTGTACAAGCTGATTGTTGAGAAAGGTCTGCTGGATGAGATTGTGCTGTCGGTTCAGACGTTCGTGTTCTTCTGTTTGCTTGGAACGGTGGGAGAGGACGTATGTCTGGTCTTCGGACTCCACGGTGGAGGGCATAGTGAAGAGAGTAGTACAAAGCAATTTGGGGGTGGTAGGCTTCTGCTGTTGAGGAAAGAAGGGATCGAAGAGATGCAAAGGCAAGCTGGGACGGCGAGGATTGCTCCGTGCTTTATATTGGTAGCTGTACGCCGTCACACACTAGTGCTTATGCATAAGTAGAACGATTGAAGGTAGCCACTTGTCTAGTACCGCGTAATTATATTCCCAAGTTAGGGTAGCATCAGCTCTAGTCGGACCAATGGTATGTATGTTCTGACATGCATTGCACAGGACCTATGCATTCGTGTGCACCAAGTCTTGGCACAGCCACGCAATGGAGGCTTACTCCTAATAAGTTCGTGCAAATGACAAAATATATAAATCTCGCTTCTACTGTCTGGGCAAGATGTCGAAAATAACTGGTTAGTGGAGGGTGTATCAGCCGTGCTGTGTCCGTAGAGTGGCATCATACAATCCTCTAGCCAAGTCAATTACGGCGGAGCACATTGGTCATATAATATATATTGAACACAACACTGAGTCCGTTCAAGCCTCAGAGCCACTTTAACACTACAATTCAGGTCATACCCTAGTCACCTCTTCGAATCTTCTCATACTCCGGCAAAGCCCACTTCACCATCCACTCCGATTCAAGAATTTGCTTCGTCGTGCTTCGATGTTCCGGTCTAAAAGCAAACATCGGCCGCAACGTCGCAAAGATAGCATCCCTCTCTTCTGCATCGAACAAAGGCATTCCTACTTCCTGCCTAGACAGCTGCAAACTATCCTCAAAACGATCGTCCCAAGAGCGATATGGGTTCCGCTTAGTTGGCTTCCCATCCTCGGTAAAATTGTCTGGTCGCGCGTCCCATCTCTTCCACCATTCGGGAGGCAAGATACCTAGAGTGTCTACATGCTCACGGGTCATGTAGTCTTCCGTTGCGAGAAATCCTTCAAAAAGTGGCCTCTGAGCAATAATAGTCCAAATGGTGCAGGCAAGAGACCACATGTCTGATGAAAATGACAATGGTTTATCTGGTTCAAAGCGAGCTTCAGGAGCACGACTGACAAGCGGAGTGTGAGATTCAGACTTTGCTTCTTTGGAGGAAAAGGCCTCGCCAAAGTCTGTAAGTAGGATCCTTGCCTCTGGAAGTGTGACTTTCTCGCTTGGTGCTCCAAGCCAGATGGGTGCAATGTCGTGGGATGGAACACCAGGCGGAAGCGGTTTGCCGTCTAGATGAACCACAGGGTCTAGCTCAGGTGCTCCGTACTTCTCATATATATCTTCGGGTGAGAGTTGATCAAAGCTGGGTAGCGTCTTGAGCAGGACATTGCCCATGTGAAGGTCACCGTGGATAAACCCTCGGGCATGCACATAGTCCACCGCCAGAACTAGTTGAGCAGCCAAAGCCCGGGCTACATTAATCTGAAATAAGCGGACCCATGATCCATCTTTCAGACCGGAGAGGCTAGGCCTCGCAGGAGAGGTAACATAGCAAGTGTGTTCTCCGTTTGGACCATGGATTGTGAATGTATCTAGAATCGACGGAAGCATTGTTTTGCCCAGATGATTGGTCGTAAGATGATGCGGATGCGTGAGACTGGCTAAAATACCCGCTTCCTTGGGATTGGAGTCGGCCGTGCAGACTTTCACTGCAACATACTTATTATTCTGCTCATCACGGGCCAGCCATATGGTGGAGTAGGAGCCGTGTCCTAGCTTATGTATTATCCGGTATCGGCCATGAAAGTGATCTCCAAGTTCTATTGGGTGATAGCCTCCTGGACAATAGTATTCGATTCTCTCCACACCTTCAAGGGGTTCATATAAGATGTGCGGATTGGAATCGTCACCTGTGGGTGTTGATCTGGACGCGGTGCTAGCAAAGACGCGACGGGTTGGCATGCGCGTTATGTGGATAGGAGAAATGCCATGAGGACACAGGGTCAGCGGTCGCAATGATCGGATTGATGATAATGACAATCCTCTCATGGTCATGATGTTCACGCAAAGATCCTACTGTCGCGCTACTCCAGATCATTTCACCCCTGGTGTCTCTACTCTTGGCGGGAGCGGTGGAATGCGGGTAGATGCAGATCCCGGTCTGTGCCTTAGCTATTATCGTGGAAAGCCAGTGAAGATTTGGAAATCTGTATCTATACTCTTCCTATTTATTTGCTTTACAATCGAGAACCCATCCATATGTAACGTGCTGTTGTAACTTCAATTAATTTTAGATAGTCCTACCACACATGCTACCTTGTAGACAGCTTCTAAGAGCCACATAGCGAAGGTCTCTGGGGTCGTGATTATAAATCAAACATCAGATCACCAAAACCTCAACACTATTATCAGCTATATATTCCATAACGTCATAGACAAGCCCCTAGGACGACTGAACCGCAATAGGGAAATCGGCAATATGCAGCTTTGCCGAGCCGTAAGGGACCAAGCGGATCTTACTCGGCGACCCAGTGACATTTGGATACTTAGGGGGCACCGCAGCGGTCCCCGAGTCCTCCTCCCAGGGAACCAGCCATGCATCCGCGAACAAGGCAACGGGGGTGGCATTTTTCGCCCAGATGGGATTTTGAAGTTGTCCATCGCGATCGTAGACCTGCTGAACAGTCACCGAGGTCGGGTCGATAGCATACCGCCAAGCAGAGACTGGGTCGAGCACATAGTCATGTGTCTGCGCCACGATCTGGTCTGCTGGCAGTGGCTCCAAGGAGGAGTAGTTGAGGGGTCTGTGGTAAGTGGAGTTGTAGTCTATGTCTAGCGCATATAATAATGGGCCGTAGTAGATGGCTGCGGTGCCGTTGGCTGGTGACTTTGTGATCTGGATGCCCATTTCTAGCTCCACAGCTATCTGGGTAGTTCCTTTGGTGAGGTTGAAGGTTTGCAGGTGATTGGAGGCCGAGGAGAGGGGTTTGGACGATCCGCCCGCCAGTGAGTACTGAGAGCTCGTCTTGTTCACCCAGTCAGGGATACGGACGGAGAATGATAGGTCGGTGGTGGCTGTGATTGCATACTCCAGTCGGCCGGAGAAGGGGTAGTTGGTTGTGCATGCTATGGTCACGTTGCCTGCAGCAAGGGTCGTGCTCAATGTTTCGGGCCCCAGTAGTGCGTGAATCACATGGCTGTCTCCCTCAAGCACATAAGAAGCTGCCACATACTTGGGATAACCCTGGCCATGGTTGACGGTGCAGCAAGGAAAGTTGGGCTCGAGGCCATAGCTGTTGGCGTAGGAGTTCACGTTCGCGAAAGGGACGGCACTCAAGTTGCGGGACCAAGGCTGATTGACCTGCTGGACATATTGATGTGACCACCCTAAGAAAGTATTAGCTGGGGTATTTGTACTAGGTGCTCATAGACTTACAATTTGGTGATAGCGCTGCAGGCAGGGAGTTGAATGCGACGCGCTCGGCCCGGTCTGCGTATGCGTTGGTGCCGTAGAATCGATACAGATAGGCCATGGAAAACATCATCTCAACCGATATGCAAGTTTCCGAGCTGTTTCATGTCAGTACCAAATAGTAAATTTGAAAAGAGGCGAAGACACGCATACCCTCGCTCGGGACTGAGTCCGCCCAGATGCTCATCGGCCGTGATGCTCCCAGCAAGTGTCGACTGGTAGGTGGTGAGCAAGTTTACCGCTAACGCGGTCTGGTCCAGCAGGGAAGAATTTCCATTCATCCGGTAGAGCACCGTCGGATACCGTAAGCCTGTCTCGGTCAGCACTACCTCCCACTGCCCTAGGGCTCAATTTCATACCTTCCGCTAAATTGACACCATGGGTGAATGAGCTGGTCGTGATATATGGCGTTCCCAAGGTAGGGAAAACGCCCTCCACGAAGAAGGTTGTCCAGTCCTTCCCACCCGCGACACCGCCGGCAAACATAAGCTCTATAGTCTCCCAGATTACTTCTGAGTTATTTCGGGGATAGTTCTCATACAACCACTGCAACGACATGGACAACTCATGCGTCCGGGCTAGTCCAAAGCCGTGGGGATCAAAGTTGTCTCCAAGCGTCGTGTTCTCGATGAGGCCGGTGAAATTGTCCTTGAGCATGGAATGAGCCAGGATGGTAAACTTATGCATCGCTGTTACAATTCGGTCGGTCTCGGATGGATCTGCTTGTGCGTATTGCTGGACCGTTGGGTCAGAGCCAAGCACCACATGTACACGTACCAGACATATGCACTCACCACTAAGCCAAAGAAGAGCAGACTACGTGCCCAGATCCCTCGAGTTTGGTGAGTTTTCTCGGGCCCCAGCCATCCATCTTCAGCTTGATTGTCAAGGACGTAATCGAGAAATTGCTTCGCCTGAGCTTTCAGGCGCGCGTCGTCGATGGTCCAGGCGAGGGGGACAACGTAGTTAAACCAGTAGGGCGCTGCCTCGTCTAGCGTGCTGTACTCCCAATCACCCCCGACCCATGTTGATCCAGCCACAAAGCGGTAGAAATCGTTGAGATGGCCGGCCAATCCATTTGCTTCGAGCTCCAGCTGATCATGCAGCCAGCCTGTGGCGGTAATTGTACCGAGGGGAAATGCGTTATACTTGAATGGCTCAAGTGCCTTTTCCATACCTGATCATGGTTGTCATATGTTAAGTAGGGATGTCTATGCAACAATTGTCCTAGGATGGTTCAGCCTGACTCACTTTCAGTAAAAACGCTCGCTGTGGCTATGGAGATCAGATGCAAAGCTAAGGGCAACGATTGCGACCACTTCATATCTATCATTTACTGCTTAAAGTCTACGACACCCAGCTTTGGAGAAGGTTGGGCGGAAGATAAAGAAAAGAAGCGCGGCTCCTTCTCCGGCATTTAGCCCGCCCTTGCGTAGTGGGTGGAGTATTCCCCGCATGATGGACGGCTGGGATTCCTATTTGAGTTGGTGGATCTTAAGAGGTATGCGGTGAGTCTCGGGTGATTATTATGTGTTTTCTGAAGGTGGACGGCAGGTGTCCTTTCAGAAATAGCTTAAATAGAGGAGGAACAGGTGCTCTATATACACAGACCCGCCAAAAGAAAGCCCACTATGCCGCCTCACAAGCCTGCCTTATCAACTAAAATACCGATTTACTAGCGCTTTTTGGGCAAACAGTATCATAACTGTCGGTATCGCCGGGAAGTTCGTAGATAAAACACTGGAACATCTCCGGGATTTCACCCGAGGGTCGAATGAACTGGATAATTATGGATTTCAAGGATCATAAATTTATTTCGGGGACTTGCTCCTGGTAGGCGACGAGATGCACTTAGATCCCACTTAGGATAACCATCTCCTCAGGTTGTCCCTTCCTCTGCAGTGCTTATATACTGACCCCTGTCCTCATGCCAGACAGCTAGTAATTTAGGCTGTGGTTGGCACGGGAGTGAGCAGATCGACTTGGTTCAACTGAACTTGGCCATGCAAGGGTTCATAATATGAGAAGGTACTCTGAAGGAGAGACCCCTGAGAGCAAGAGTATCTGACAATGTTACTGTTACCACTAGAATCTCTGGATTAAACACAGGTACTCTGGATCAATTGCTGTTCGGATTCACGGGAAGACTGATCCAGTTCTCGTAGTTGGGTCCGAAGTGCACATGATTGTTGCCCTTGAAAACGCTTTCCGGCCTGTTCGATTGTTATTCAGTTTTATGTGTTACAATTATTCCATGGATCGTGCTGTCGTTAGCTTACCTGTCACTTGGACCATTGTGCTGGAACAAACCGCTACCAGCCAGTTCTGAAGCGCCGATATCTAAAACGAGGCGCTCACCCTTCTGCACCACAACATTTGCAGGCCACAGTTCCACATCCACACTGTACACCCCATTAGGGATAACTGGAAGAACGCCAGTGGGGTAATAATCACGATAAGATAACCAAGGGCGATGGCGCGGGTGCTGAGGATTGACTTTTCGTAGACTTACTTTCAGGAAGCCCTTTGTCACCGAAGCTCACTCCCCGGTATTTTCCGTGTAAGACACTTCGCCGCCAGACGATGAAATGTGGCGGAGAAAGAAGAATAGATCCATGTCTGTAGGCGTGGTTGACTGCCAGCGATGGCGACTCACGGAGAGATTGAGCCGAACTACGATGTGGCCGGTGATTTCTTGCTCCGAATCAAACGGACCTGAAGTAGAAGAAACAAAGGCCTATCACTTTGTAAGATACAGAAAGCACGCAGAGCATCTACGACGAGCTGGTCAGGGCCATGTCCCTATGGTCGCCGGTTGTCCTCCTCATCAAGCTGACAGGGCTAAACCTAGCAAGCCGTCTGGTCGAGATACAAACACTGGACAGTCGCATTCATTCTAGAGGGAGAAAAGCCGAATGCCGGATAACCGGAGATTATGGATCACGGTTCCATGTCGGGATTTTCTGACATGTTGTAGTGCATTAGGCGATACTGCCCTCCGTTCTGCTGCTCTGGTCCTTTGTCATGGTACCAATTGGGAGGGCCGCCATCCACTACGCACCCAGTTTGCTATGGCGAGTCTCTGGAAATAGTCCCTTCGGGGATAGATATCGAAGAGGTAAACCGAAGTCTTTTTGACACATAACCCAAAGTTGTGTTATAGCATGTGAGTACATGATAGTGCAAATAAGTATGACCTCTATCAATATACCCCGTGAATTGAACAACCTAGCGAAGCTAATATAATCACTGATCACTTAGTTGTGCTCATACCGCCTACTGAATATAGCTTACTATGCTTCACCGGTCACTGTGCGTCATCTAGGCGACATTGTCCACAGTGTGAATGAACTATGTCCTGTTCTCGTCCATCATCCCATTATTGTTCTGTAACGGAAGTGATCGCGTCCAACTTTAAAGCAGTAAGGCTCAAGAATAAGTGCCAAGAAAAGGCAAAGCCTTGTCGGAAGTCACACGGAGACAGTACCTTGCATGTTGAATGCTGCGCCAGGCAACAGGATACATCCGTCGAAAGCGTAAATGGTGAAAGAGTCCAGCTTTGGTAAATGAACCGCACAGTGAAGCGTACATCAAGTACAGCTTCCTGCAGACTTTGTCACCTGCCAACGCGCTATAGCTACGCCTATACAGTTTCATTAGCATGTTCACTGCTGCAGAGTCCAGAGGGTAGGGGCATTACCTTCCAATAGCCACCTCCACGACCATATCCGTCACCACCACGACCATAACCATCACTGCCGCCACGGCCGTAACCATCTCCACCGCCACGGCCGTAACAGTCGAGCCATTCCCGCTTAGCCTGGTATAACTTCAGTATTTCTTTCTTTCCAAGAGCTGGATTACTACTTACTAGACCGTAACCATCACCGCCGCCACCACCGTAGCCATCTCCACCGCCACGGCCGTAGCCATCAAGCCATTCCCGTTTGTCGTTCTCCTCCGGAATAGACGCTCCGGGTACCGCGATGGCAAGCCCGATAAGTGCACTCAGCCAGATAATCGAACGCATTTTTTCAATTTTTCTTATTGGTGGTGGTAGTGTGCTTGATGATTGTTATTGTACTTGTGAGGCTTGTTGTTGTTCTTGAGATAACCAGATTGCACCCCGAATTCTAGGTCTGGGTCTACATTATATATGGTAGTCTGGTCTCACATCGTGGACCGTTTCTATGAGGCATTTACGCCCCTCACCACTTTGGAATATGCTTTTTCCTTTGAATTGTTTGAGAACAATGCTTGTCTCCACCATGTCCATGCGTAGACTTGATTTACTGTCATGTGTCAACGCACTGACCGTTTCACCAAAAATGATATATTGCCTCTATACGATCAGATCAATGGACAGATATGTTCCGATGTCATGTGTATTGTGAGGCAGCTGGTGGAGCTCCGTGCAATATTGATCTCAGGAAGGAAATTAAGCGGATGTCGGATGCTGACGGATTGCGCTAGTTAACTAGTGATTAGTTATGCATTGTACCATATCTGACTAAGATTCGGTGCCTTTTATGCTTTTTCTGGGGTGAGATACTACATGTTCTCTCTATATCGGTAAAGCACACATTGAATGACAGTGAGGATAGAATAGCCATTACCATATGGAGACTTGGGCTCGACCTCTGCTGTACTACGTCTATAAAGTCTTTTTACAAATTGCGAAGCCGATCGGTGAAGGCAACAGCCATTGTAGTCTCCTATATTGCTTTTTCTTGTTATTTTCCAAGACATGCGGGTGAGGAGACAGCATGGCAAGTTTGTATATTACTTTTTCATGTGGTTTTTGACACCTGCCGGTGAAGGAAACAGTTGTTATAAACTCCAATATTGCTTTGTCCTGGCTGCAGATACAGTGCGTGACAGCTCAATGATCAACATGAACAAGTGCCACGAAACAGTGATCGGATGTAGTAGTATACTTGCAACTCCAATAGCGTACATATAAGGGAGTAAGGCAACTGATGACAAATCTCTAGCACCTGTAAAAGATGTAGCCTCGCGGACTAAGTCTGAAACCAGATTGGGTACCATGCTAGTATCAACACCTATTATCTGCACCATAACGCTCGTGAACCCTCCTTCCACAATTCGCCTTGTGATCTGCAATATAAATCGATATTATGTGTTAGTATCGCTTACACTCCAGAGAATGGGGAAAAGATTATCGATATGACGACACGCATGTTTCTGGTGAACTAATCAAAATTGACAAATGCAACTTTATCCAATCAAGACATAACCCCTCGCGAGGTTGAGCTACCGAGAGGGTTTAAATGACCGAAAACATAACCCGAGTCAAGGGTATTGCGAGCCACTCGAGCCATTCTACCTCAGAGGCATTCTGAAGCCGCTCTGTAAACGACACGAGAAACAGAAATGAAGGATGCCGCATATTGTCCAGTTGACGATGGCAGTGACTGCCGCGGGAGCCGCAGTCTTGACAAAGACGAAGCCAGACGAGTGCTTCTTAGCAAACCGTTTGAGGACCATGTGGTTCACTCTAGTCCACCCATGAGCCGGAAGTACTTGTTCTTCGGATTGTTCTGTGTCGTCCTACTGATGTTGAACACTATAATGCTTGTTTTCAACCTCTGGACAACCACGCCCCATTCCCGCCAAGAAGGCTTCATTCAGAAGCCTACAGATTACTGGTGTGGGTACATCCTTTGTTTCGACTTCTTTACGCAGATTTTGACAGCTCCTGTACAGTGCCAGGCTTTGAGAATGGAATCGTTTACGAGAAACGACAGTTCTATAGCGCCCATTCAGAATACGCGGGTGTGGGACCGGAGGTAGATGCCAAATGGCATGACTTGACAAGTTAGAATTCAGACGATCTTTCATTGTCAATTTTCTAACAGCCATTGGTAGGAGGTGCAATGGGCATCAGTCGCCAGCAGCTGACAGCACTGAACAATCATCCCGATGTTGCAGTACAGATCGAAAACGCTGGCCCTGACCAAGAGTATTTGGCGACCTTTGACGTTCTTCACCAATTACACTGTGTTGTGAGTATTGTGACTATGTGCGTGTTGAGCTATACAGCTGATCATGTCGCTTTTTGTTCTTAGGATCTCCTGCGGAAAGGTATTCACATGGATTACTACAAAGACAAAGATGAGCATTTCGTGAATCAAACAGATGAGCGTATCTTCTTTCACTTAGGTGGGTCTTACAATCAATCTCTTTCGTTTTCGAGCTGCGGAGTACAGCACACAGCTAACAACTTTCCCAGACCACTGCGTTGATATCCTTCGTCAGACCCTGATGTGCAACGATGACCTCTCCTTGGTGACCTACAACTGGGTGCAAGGCTTGGAGATCCCGTACCCGAACTTCAACACATACCATACCTGCAAGAACTGGGACACGTTCTTTGCGTTGAACCAGAAGCTCGATGTTAGTGCCAGGTGGGAAGGCGGTAAGGTCGTTGAGGAATACCCGATACCCAGAAAGCCGGAACATGTCGATGGCATGTGGCCACCTCCTTGAAGGTCTTCCAGTAGAATACAGTCATGAGCAAAGGATTACCTGGATGGCGCTCTTTCCTACCACCGGTTCGATCTCCAGATTTGTGCGTATTTTGGCCAAAAAACATCTTCTTACCATGATCTGTTGCTTGTATATAGTGAAGTTAACCTATTTATGCGTCATCACTTCTTACAACAATGCCAATTATTTACGCCAGGGAGCAGTGAATGGGATGTAGCCTAATCCATAGTTTCAAGACACTGTATCCAGCTCTACAAAGCAACTCGAAATACATACACCCCATAGGTTATTATCAAGTAGACCCCCAAGACGGGAATCTATGCCTACTCCAAAGCCAACCCCGTAGTAATATCCTTCTTCAACCCCTCGATAGCAACTCCCAGAAGCTTCCTCTCATTCTCAGAAACCTCACCAAATGACAGCGCCTTCGAAGCCCCTGTCTTTCCAATCTCAACCTTAACAGCAAAATAATCCACCCCAAGCTTAGCCGCAATCTCCTCACCACCAGGAACACCAGGAAGATAGACATAGGCTTCCTCGGTAACTGTTTCTCCACCCATGGCTGCCAAAATAGCCTTGACGAAGCGGAATCCCGCATACGCCATGCAAGTAGTAGCGCTTCCCGCGCCCTGCTTACTCTTCACGATCTCGTCACCCCCGAATTGCACACCTTCATTTACCTGTCATTAGCATCTGCTTCCCGAAGGTAATGAATAATTGTATAGTGGGGAACATACGGTTGATGACAGCCGCCAAAGTCACCTCATCAAGGTTGACCGGTGGCTGAGCCTGACTATAAAGTGGCAGTATGGTAGCTCCGCTGTGGCCACCGATAACGGGAACTTTATACGCCTTGGGGTCGGTGTTTGTGGCATGTGCGGCGAAAGTAGATGCCCGCACGACGTCTAGGGTAGTGACGCCAAAGAGGCGAGTCGGGTCGAAGACACCTGCTCTTTTGAGGGTCTCGGCGGCGACGGGGACAGTGGAGTTGACGGGGTTGGTGACGACGCAGCAGAATGCCTTGGGGCATGTTGCTGCGACTTCGGTGAAGATTGAGCGGATGATGTGAGCATTGGTCTAGTTTTACTTAGTTAGATGATGGTTATTCTGGCGAGAACATCCCAAATAGCATATGATATTTTGGTTCTGTTGGGTAGTTGTTGTCTCACCTTGAATAAATCTAGACGCGGGCACCCGTCAGTAACTGGTTATTATATATATATATATAAAGGTAAATAGTAGTCGTCACTCACCATCTCTAGTCATACCCGGCTTACGCGCAATACCAGCCGTGACAACGATGACATCAGCGCCAGTAAGGGCTTTTTTCAGTCCATCATCAGCCGGAAGATAGCCAGTAACCTTGGCTTTGGTGTCGATGTGCATCAAGTCCGTAGCAATGCCTGGGACATGAACAATATCGTACAAGGCAATCTCATCAAATAAATCACTCTGAATAGTGTCAGCCAGCATATTCTGAGTTATGTTCAATCCTATAAATTCTTTGTCGGTCATACTGTTTTGCATAGAAGACTGAGGGGCGTGCCTATCTGGCCCGCGGCGCCAAGAAGTGCAATTTTCACCATATTGATGATTTGTATGGTTGTTGTATTTAGATCAAATTGGCAGATTTATTGAATCGGTTTAATGACCGAGATCCTGCGTTAGCAATGGAGTAGACGATCTCCTGTTCTTATTACTGGCGATTCTACCGATAGTACACTTCCTGAAACATGCTGCGAGTTCAGTGGGTGAACATTCACCCGCACGGACCAAGTATAGCCGGCGGGCTAGGGGAACTCGACACAGCATGTCTGTCTGGCTGATTGTTCTTCAGTCTCAATCCCATAGGATTACTTCATAATTTCTGAGCCTGAATTACAATGCGGGATGAATTAGATTTCTACCGGTACTGAGCAACTACGTCAGAATTGAGAAATTACATTATCTTGGGGCCTTCATGGTTTTCCGAGGCACTTCACAAAGCTCCCCAGTAATGGTATTCTCTTGCTACCCGGCTGTTAGTTTTGGGGTGACATACTGGGCATACGTAATTAGTGGAACCCTAATTTCATTGTCGGTACGATCGAGTATATCCTGATGCTCAAATATTACTAGTAGTTGACAAACCAGCTGCTGTAGACAGCACAGCTTTCCTCACATTATAGAATTATCACATTCCATTGACCAAAAATATACGCTTCCAGTACCCTGACTATTTCTTCTTCGGTAGCCACCGTGTGGCCTGGCGTCCGAGTAATCCTTTTGGGGCGTCGGCAGCTTGCTCGTGTTGATCGGGCTTCTCGGGTTCTTTTGGCGACGCAAGTGTTTCTTCCTCTTCATTCCCATTATCATGTTCATTTTGATGCTTCCGATTCAACATATCAATAGCCCACTGTAGCTTGGCCTGTTCAGCAAGTGTGATTGGGGTCTGTTTGTCTTTAGCCTCGGCATTTGGATCAGCTCCCGCAGACAGCAATGTCTCTATCATTCGCTCTCTTGAAGCCTGGATAGTCTTGAAAATATCCGGCTGCTGCTCCACCTGCAGTGCAATGGTTGTCAGCAGCATGGAGAGGGGCGTTTTTCCATTGGAATCCCGTGCGTTTGGATCGGAGCCGTTCTCGATCAACATCTTGGTCATGGCTTCAGGCTGCATTTTGATTACTGCGATATGGAGTGGACTCCGACCCGCACTATCCCGCGAGTTAGAGTCCGCTCCATGCTCCAAGAGGGTCTTCACTGTCTGCTCCGTATTCTTTGCCTGGGTGGCAATGTGTAGTGCAGTTTGCCCGGAGTTGACGGTATAATAGGACTGCCACAGATCTCTGGTGTTCTTAAGGTTTGACAGTCCACGGGCCGCTGAGACGGCACCAATGCTTGCTTTTTTGTTGGGATCTGCGCCATGGTCAAGAAGAATCTTGGCGATGTCTTCCAACCCGGGAATAGCCACACACTTGTGTAGGGGAGTCGCTCCAGAGCTACTGGCGACATTTGGGTCAGCCCCATTCTTAAGCAGAGCCGTCACGGTTTCGACTGAGCGGCTATCAATGGCATAGTGCAGCGGAGTGTTTCCTCCCTGTTTTGTCGCAGTAGCAGGGCTCGCTCCTGCCTTGAGCAGCGAGCGCACCATTTTATGACCATTCTCGGACCGCTTGGAGGCGGCAAGGTGCAAGGCTGTTCGACCAGGATGAGGAAGCCCGAGAGTCGTAACACTCACAAACGCACCCTTGCTCAGGAGCCAGTCTACCATTTCCACTGATTCTGAGTCAGCTGCTATGTGGATAGCGCTCCAACCAGATAGATCTGGGGCCCAGACGTGTGATGGCAGGGAGGTGTAAGTGGCCATTATTGGTGAGCGTTCAGCTAACCAAGGGAGGTTCAATCGTGCTGCAACGAATAGATGGCTCGTACTGCTGCTGTGTCCGGAATCTGTGGAGGAACATGTAAGTATGTACACTGGTACTGCACTACGTTTGACGGAGAATGACTTACATTTCCCTGAAGTATATCTCTTCAAGAGATCGTATGCTGGAGACCAGCTGGCCAACGCTGCTGAATTGACAGCAAAGAATTGTTTCATGCCCTCCACGTCTGTCTCTTCGTGGATTTCGCTCTCATGTAGATGATGACCCACGAATACGACAGCGTACTGCAGAAGGGGAAATCCTTCCAGGTACTCTTCTCTGACTTCTTTAAGCCGATTTTCATCGATGATTCCGCTCTCATCGACTGGAGGCTTGGGTACTTCACGCCGGTGGACATTCTCAATTTGCAGATAAGCGATGCAAGTAGAGGCTATTCTTCGGTGTGCCTCTACCGGCGTTAAACCGTATTTCGGATATTCCTTTTTACCATCCACACTGAATACACCCGACAGAAAGTCCTTGACAGACTGGTGACTTAGGTGGACGAAACCGTCGTGAACCTCTAATAATGCACTCCACCTGCTTTCGATATCGCGCCGCAGTTGATCAACGTCATCTTCCGCGCTTCCAGCTCCAGCAGACTTCCCCTTCTCCTGCAGTTGAAGAACGATGTCCAGCTCCTGCAAGGCCAGGGGCCGACCGGCGAGGTAGACCCACATCAAGAGTGTTTGTAACCTTGGTCTGCTGTCTAACGGTTGCGTCTCTAACATGTTCTTGTAAAAGGCTGCCACATCTGAAGGGATGCTGTGAAGCTTGTCTTCAATCTTCCTCTCTGACCAAGTTCCGTCCCAAGTGCGCAGATCACCGAGGATAAGTGATAGCCACATGAACATGCCTTTTGAGTTTTTCTTCAACAAGCTGGTCGTAAAGTCCAAGATGGAATCAGAAAAACCACGGTACTCCTGAATGCGCTTGACAGCATTGTCGGTGACTTGTTCGATATCCCGTTGGTTGTCTGTGGGCATGTCGACGATATATTTGGGAAGCAGTAGATTGCGAACGATGCTGCTTCCTCGATCGGAGATAATGAAACGCAAACTGAACTGCTCTCCTTGCTTTATGGCTTCATCGTTGATGCTTTTAGAAAGCTCCTTGATCATGAAAACAACATCGTTCTGGTACCGTCCACATTGATCCAAGCCATCGACGATAAAGTAGATAACTTCTACCTCTGGATCTGGAATCAATTCTTCGAGAATTTTGTGCAAGACATCCTGTGACTGGAATTCAGCCGGGTCAGATCCCGTGACATCCAAGTCCTCAACCTTTTGGATATGTTTTTGCAAATGTTTTACCAGGCCCCGATTCTGATTGAACAGCCGGTACATCAATGTCCTCAAAATCCAGACAGGGGTCCGCCGGTGTTCATTTCTGTCATCACAGAAGCAAGCAGCTGCCCTCGTCTTTCCGGCAGGCCCCAGTGAGGGCAGCGACTTATCCACGGGGGTTGAAGCCGGAGACCCAATACGCTGCTGTCTGTCCACCTCTTTTGCGAGGAACTTGAGCAGCACACTTTTTCCGCTACCGGGGATGCCTTCAACATATAGCGGGCCAGATTCAGAGGGGTTTTTCTCAATCCACTCTCGAAATGGTGCACTGTCTAAGAGCCATTCGCATGTTCCAGGCTCAGCATCGTGGAGGTCCTTTCTGTTTTCTGGATCTCGGCCAATGAGGGCGTCAAGGAGTTTATCTTCCACGGTTCTTTGCTCGCCTACATGTCAAGATATGGTTAGCAACCATCCGCTCATTCTCCGAAAGGTTTACACGTTTCCCCTACCCATATACACAGAGGCACCTGCGGCAATATTGATGCCTTGGATGGCATCACTATAGATTGAAGTCTCCACATGTCCAAAGTTCTGACCCATCTGGATTCCATTGTTCTCCGAATTGGCAAAGTCAGCCGTCGCCGCGGGTGCTGGCTCCGGCTTATTTCATGTTAACCCAATATCCACTGCATTTTGCATGGTGTGATAGACAATCTTGACTCACCTCCGTCTTTGAGCCTGGAAATCTCATTTTACTAGTGGCCGACGGGATGCACTAGGATAGGTGAAGTTGAATGGGGTGGTTGATGTAGGAGGATTGGATTCTACAGTGGAGGCGATATTCTCTGAGCCGGTTATTATTCTCTCCCACTGCCGAGGAAGTGAGAAGATCCAACTTTCAGCTCTCAATATCGATTGAGGACATGTGGGTCCACTTCTTCAGCTCCGACTCCACCGTTCAGCTGAGCCCAGGCACCGCCAGGAACACGGATACCCAGCCGTCTCTAGCGCGTAGAACGGATCACTCAACAATCGATGGCGGGTCTGTATATGGCAGTCAAAGCGCAGGTCAGTGGAGCTCGCACTGTACCTCTCGTTGCCGGTCGTGGCCATTCGGTTCTGCGCTGTCCACCAGATCTTCTGTGGAGTACTCCAAATTCTGGTCACACCTGCATGTTCTGATGTGATCATACCTTCATGTTTTTGATGTGTGTACCGTTATTTCTGGCACCGACCTAGTGTCTCGATTGCACGCCCTCCTAGCTGCGCAATCTGCTGCATAACAATCAGGCACAAAAACAGCGGTATCAGGCTACTCTACTTTGTGCTTGTTCCGTACGGTAAAGCCATTACTACAACACATTGCCGAATCAAACCCTTACTTCCCACCCTAGTTGTAAATATTGAGCCCATTGAGGACAATAGACATTATCAGAGCACACAGTCCCGATGTCCCTATAGAGAGCCTTAATGGCTGAGACAAATATAGCTCTTTGCGCAGCCGGGAGGGGAACGTGGAGCGCGGTTGGGAGATCAGGTGTTTTCCTCCGGTCAGTCAATGGCTTAAGGTTTTACGTGGTGCACAACGAAGATGAGAGGCCCGTCATCGAGGTATTAAGGCAACCCAGGTAGGCCGTGTGCGCGTATGAGCTGGTAAATTACTCTTGGTCTTTATGGAGGCACTGCTGCCACACCACCCTTCGCTCATGCCGTACCCTTCTGTATAAGGAAAGACCGTAGGAATGGTAAGGCCACTTAGAAAGCATCCTGTGGGATCGTCATAGAGGCAACGAGGGGGAGACTCACGAATAAGAGGCAGTATGCTGTGTTGATCCCCTACTTCTGGCGCTGGACTAGCCAAATACATAGTAGGTTGTGGGGGTCATAACGAGTTGTATTGCAGAACCACTCCGTAGGACTGGTTACTTGGAGATGAACATAGACTAATCGGCTCGAGTGGAGAGACTAAGCCGTGTGTAAAGACATTGCCTATCGCATTGGCACCTTTTTTCGGATATGAGCGTAACTGTCAAGACGAATTGCTGGCTGTCTCTGTCTGTCCTTGCAGCTTTGCACTGCCTTCCTCTTCCCCTCCCCTCTGACATTCTTGAGGATCCACTGGGGACGAAGTTATTTGAACCACACAGTCCCTCAAAGCGCGAATACCAACAACACCCTCCCATTGCAATCTACGAAGAACGCATCTCATCATATCGACCATGACTATCAAAGCCATCAAAGACTTCCCGGAGGCGAGAGTTGAGTATGACAACCAGTGATTTCGCTCGCACACCTCGAACTTCTTGACTAATCAAACCCTGTATAGCATTGTTTTTGTCCACGGCTTGCAGACGGACCAGAAGTCCTGGACCAGTGAAGATGGTGTTTACTGGCCGGCAACCCTTCTGCCTAAGCTGGTCAACAACGCCCGCATTTTGGCATACGAGTCTGAAGATATAACTGTGGAAAAGATCTGGGATACGGAAGATTATTTGAGTGAGATTGCCAACGAACTGTGCGATGATCTTGTGGGCATGCGTTCTGGCGAGGCGGTCCGTCATCTGTTTCCTTTCCTTCACCTGTTCTTGGTGTCCATGGTGGGCTAACAGCATTCCAGGCTCAGCGACCCATCATTTTCATCGCCCATTCTCTTGGTGGCCTGGTCTGTAAGCACGTACGTACATTGACCCGTCACCACTTCGAACATCTCTGAAAAAGATTACTAACACCTCTATTTTATGGCAGGCCCTCAACCGAGCAGCCAACGACGAGGACAAGAAGCAAGTTGTGGAAAACGCCTTAGGTCTTATGCTCCTTGGGACCCCATACTATACGCCTGCGAACATTGGCGAAGCAGGCAAATTCTTCCGCCTGGCCCAGCAGGATGTTCCTGGACCTGATGAGTTAGTGGCCAAGTCGCAGAACCTTTTCGAATCGGGGCAAGAATTTGAAGATTTGAGGCAGAACGCTTCGCTGAAGTTGAAGATCTTCTTCGAGGGTGCACCTACGAAGATCAATGACGAGGAATTCAAGGTCGTCGAATCGACCGTCGCTGCGTTGCCGGATACCCAGAAGCAGACTCTTCGCATCGGATACAATCATCATGGAATGAGTTGCTTCAAGGATGAGAATGACAAGGAGTTCAAGAAGATTTTCACTCCCCTGAAAACTTGGTTGGGAAGCATCCCGGAGCCGGAAGAGAAGGGCGCGGTGAACTATAACTCGACGTCTACTTTCGACCGGTCTACCAACAATGGTTGGCAGCTGGGACAAAACGCTGGAAATGTCAACGGGTTTACTATCAATCAGAAGGGTAAATAGGCTTCTATTTGGTAGTCCGTGCTCGGGACGAAGAAATACGACTGTCTTCTCTCTATTTCCCTATTCCAATGTAATACTTTCGAAACAGCTTAACGGCCATAGCGTACGCAAAAGAGGACTTATCGTTCAGTAAACCCTTCCGAATCACCCCATACCTGTCACCCTAAAATCGCTGTACCCACGCACGCCTACACGTTAATTGCCAACTACCACCAAAACTCCATCGAAAGACCCCCTGCCACCTCGTGCCGAGCGAGGTCGGCTCGAATTTCAGTCTGTAGCGGTGTGCAGAAACGAAATACCGATCTACATACGATTCGCTAGCGCAAGTAGGCAACTTGCATCAATGCACAACCGGCCTTAGCCTGTTGGATACCAAAAGGAACCATAGGATGACAGCGAGTTTCGGGAAATATTCCCCCGCCCCGGTTCAAATTAAATTACTTGTCGGAGTAGCCGATTGGGGGGCTGTGACGAACTTTATTTTGACGAGTTCAAAACCAGAAGAAGATAAATTATAGACCTGCATGATTAGCGCGGAGCTAATGTTGTGTCTGGTGCCGCGGAGATTTGTGGTGGCTGGCTGTCTGTCAGTATCTGCAGAGCGGTAGATTGAATCTATGTTACTCTGGTATTAGTTCTACCGGTACACTGCTGATGATGCAGAAGTATGTGATCGGAGGCATGGACTTGTTCCTGTAGGAAGGCGTCATAGTGGCCATTCAGTAGTCGTCGTACTGAGCAGTGGTGTCTTGTCCCTTTCGCCTGCTGCTGCTCAAGAAGTTCACTACAGTGGGCAATGGACGCCTTTAAGAAAAAGTGCTTTGTGAGGTTATGATACAATGCATGAGTATCAATTATTCAATAAGCTCTGAATAACATGCTTTTACTTCATGATTTAGGGATTCAAAGCATATCTTATAGCTGCATCATAATCAGGTTTTGAATATTGTCATATTTGGATTTAAATGATACCCTGTCCCTTTTGGTAGTGATTTCCTTGATTGAATTGCTATTATATATATCTCATAAGACAGATACTTAGCTACTATTAACGACAAAGAACTGCAGACGAAAACAAAATAATCCAGTAAACATTATATGTCATGATTGAAACTAAAAGGAAAAAGAGAATCAAGACATAGATCTGTCAAAGCTTACACTACACAATTTAGTAGTTTCTTTAGATTATATGGAGTACCTTGGGATACTCTGCGACTATCGACTGTGTTGAATACACATACTGTATCTTATTATTTTGTCGTTTATTCAAACGCATTTAATTGAGTATTTTTGAATCCTGCTCATAATTACTAGCGGTGAAGGGAAATGAAGCTAACTCTAGATATTACCTGATGGCCACTATTGCTCACTGTAATTCATGCCTGGGCATCTCTGCAAAAATCATCCATCACATGTAGCCCGACGTCAGGGCCAGACGAGTCACCATTCAGACACACATTGTCATACAGATCGAAGCTAAGCAGCCACTAAGCAGACGATTTGCCCCACTGAGAGCGGGGTAGACTGTCAATCCTTTTCCCGTCCAAAAAAAAAGGGGGGGGAGGGAAGAAAAGAAGAAAAAATGACGTGTCAAATGCGCTATGGACTACGGCTTAGCATGAATAGCTAAGGTATCAGAGAGAAGCGCCCGAAACGGGAAAAGCCGCGGTCAGATCGTGAATGATAGGATGCCGTGCTCGATCTCAGCAACAACCAACGATCGACAGTCCTTCCCGGGTCCTCGGGTAGATGAATAGGCGGGCCACATTGTTGAGGAGAGCTGAAAGTGGTTCGGCAAAGCCGGCACGACGTGTGCCGTTTCAGTTCCTGCTAGTGGGGTGCTTAGCGTGGTGGGATTCTCGCAGTCCTCCACCCGCACTTTCAGCTGGCATGTCAGTGGGGAAGGAACACATTGCGATCAACTCGATGCTGTCGATTGAGTAAGTTAATGAGTCTGCAGCGTAGGACCGGTGGAGATGAGGGGGAGCGCAGGTGCACGACCGACCGGGCATTGACTATTAGTAGGGTTTCCATGCATGGGGGGTTATGAGATCTGAGCGTGGGGTATTCTTTCTTATCTTGTTTTTCATCCTTGAAGGCGTACGAGTAGCTTCGGGGCCTTTTCATAGCCTTATTTTTCATTTCCTAACAATAGCCGTCACACGTCAAACATGGCCTCAAACGGCGAGGGCTCATCCATCGCTCAGCTCTGGCAAGATGCGATCGCAGAATACGAGAAAACGACCGGCAAAGGCCTTCGCCTGGGCCAGTTCAAGAGCATGGATGAGGTGATGGCTGGAACTGAGGGCCTGTCGAACAAGTTTAGCGATTTTCGTTCCGACAAGTCCAAAGTAGGCAAGATGAGGACGGCGTTCAAGAACAATATGTGGTTGATTCAGGGCATCGTCAACACCATACAAAATGTTGGCAATGCTGCATCGGTAAGGCAAATCTACATCTGACAACAAGAGTGACTTAGTAACGATACCTACTTGGAAAGATATTTCCCCCAGCTATGCCAGCTAGTTTGATCTTCTCGGCATTCGGGCAGGTGATGGAGTCTTTTTCCACAGTGTCGGCCGACTATGACACCATCATGGGATTTTTTGAGTTTACCCATCGATTCTTCGATCGTTTGTCGATTATCGATCAGAAGATGCCGGAATTACCACCCTTCCAGAGATGCGTGAGTCGCGTTTTCTCCAGTATACTTAGGATCTGTGCTATTGCGCAGAGGTATACTAAGGAGAAACGATTCAGTAAGTTATTGTCTTATAGGCTACTCTGGACGTAAATTTACCAGACACAGGAAAATGGTTCGATGGCCTCCTAAAGGGGAACGATGGTGAACTCGCCGCCGCAAGCGAGGAGTTAGAGACGGCCATCAACGAGATGAGTCAAGCCGTTGGGCTGTCGACACTCAAAACCGTTGAGGTGATGAACACAGTCGTTGAAAGGATGAACGGGAACCTCGAGTTCCTCGTGTCGAATGCCAACCTTATCGACGAAAGAACTGCAGCGATCCAATCAAACACAGATGCCATCCGCCAACAGAACCAGGAAATCGCATCCAAACAAGACCATATGACAGACACGCAGCGGGAGATGATGGCCCAATTATCCGAGCAGTCCAAGCTACTCAACCAAGCCGTGGGATTCTTTGGGTCGCTTCAGATCGGTGATAGCTTCGGCAAGGAATTCCAGACGAGTCTGCTAAAAGTTGATGTAATCAAGCTGCGTCTCACTCGATGGGGGAAGTCCGTTGGATTAGCCAACTTGGACGACATGGGTTCTGCTAGTGGTATCAAGCTCGCACCTGAGGATATTCCGAAGGTGCAAGATCTCCTGAACGAAATTCTAGAGCTCATTGCGGACGCGGATAAGCTTTCGGGCCGCTTCAAGAAGAAGAATCCTACGGCTCTCACCATGGATCCTGATACGCATCTGGACGGTACCTCTGCCTCACTCCACCAGCAGATGGACTTACTCGCCAAGGGTCGACAGGGTAACTCAGTGTCTAACCCAGATGATGCTCTGGTTATTTACCAGATGAAGGATTTCTCGCGATTGATCGAAGATACCAATGGTTTGGTCGATAACTTGATTGAATTGTTCCCAGCAGTGAAGGATGAGCAGCGCAAGATTTGCGAGGACGAGGTCTCGCAGTTGAAGAAGGTCGAGGATGGTCTGCCGCTGTTAAAGGATGTTGCTGCTGGGCAGGATGATCTTCTGAGTGATACTGTTGTGAAGGTCATTCAGTCTACGAATACCTACAACAATAGTGTTGTTTTCTCGGGGGAAAACTTTGGTTTCCAGATTGGGAGTAATGCTGGCAGTATTAACAATGTGCGATTCAATCGATAACATTAGATTTGGACGTAATGCAATGATTGAATGATTTGTGCTTGAGCCATGTTCTATGGTTGAAAGCAGGATGAAAGCACCTCCAGAGGAATCATGTCATACATTCAGGTAAACGTCTTCATCGTAAACGATACTGCATACTACACAATCCACAATTGAATTCTCTATTCCTTGCAATGCAAACACATACTCAGACTATCATTTGACTACCAAATCAAAGTATGGACAGGTTTAAGCATTTCCGCTCACCAACCCCAAATGCTCCGGAACTGGGGACAACAACACCTCACCCACAATCGCCCGTCTCGCATTTTCCATCGCCCACTCCTCCATCTTCGCCAACGTTTCATACGTATGTGTCCCAATATGCGGCACCAAAAGCGCACGTTCATTCTTCACGAGTCTTTCATTGATCCCCGGCTCCCTCTCATACACATCCAAGCCAACAGCACCAATATGCCCACTCTCCAGGGCATCAGCCATAGCAGCCTCATCAACAATAGCACCACGAGCAGTATTGATAATAACAACGCCGCGCTTCATCTTCGCGATCTCCGCTTCACCAATTAAATGCTTCGTATTCGCATTCAACGGTACGTTGATACTGATAATATCACTCTCAGTAAGCAACTTCTCAAACGAGACGTACTCGGCCCCGGCAGACAGGTCAGCAGACAAAGGTCGACGGTTATGATAGACGGTCTTGATGCCAAAGGGCTCGCAGCGCTGTTTGATAGCGCGGCCAATTCGGCCCATGCCGAGGATACCTAGCGTCTTTCCTTGAGGGTCGTGGCCGAAACCTACGCCTTGTTTGAAGGTCCCGGCGTGAAGGGAGCGAAGTGCCGGGTTAAGATTTCGCAGAGCTCCCAGGAGTAGGAGGATAGCTAGGTCAGCGGTTGCATCTGTAACTGGGTCCGGGGCGTTGGTGACGATGATGCCTCGTTTGGCGCAGGCTTCGGTGTCGATGGGGTCGTAGCCTGTAGTCATTTGTCAGTGGGGTTTTTCTAGGATGTTACATGACTCGCGTACCTGCTCCATTGTGGAAGATGTATTTGCAGCTTGATGGGAGGCGGTTGATTAGCTCGGCATCGAACTTGCCGGCTACCTTTAGTACCATATTAGTTTACTGAGAC